GAATTTCGGTCTTATCAGTGCTTTTGGATTCAGTTGCAGTCGGATAATAAAGTTCCCACCACCCATAAAGTGAAACTAAAAGCTGAAAACAACTACACAGAATTTGCACACATACAGAGAATATGAGTAACATCAGGTTATGCGGACATTCTAACCATGTTTGGGTATATGTTCATATGATACCAGAAACTAATATGAATATGAGGTAATTATGAAGAGGAATCTGACGGTGCAGTAGTCCTGAAACCTGCAGTTCTTGAAATTCTTTATAGTTTTAGTTGATCCTTCACTAAATTTTCTCAAAGATGGAACCTGACAGGGTTTTCAAACTTCAGGTGGCTTCTCTATTTTGCTTGCTAGGCAAGGTTGTTTACCTTCAAGATAGTGTCTGTTTTCCGAAGATCTAATACATGAACTGAAGTGACTTTTCATGGATTTGTTTAAGTACTTGACTTCACATACAAGTGTTTCTCTGCAATTATTCAAGACACAAAGAAGTAAATCCCGGATTGAGTTGAACAGACTCAATGCAATGATTATTCTCTGAATTTAAAGGATGATAGATGGAATCTTGTTCTTATCCTAAAATCATCCACATTTCAGTCATGAGTGCTCATCCTTTTCCTCTAGGTAAGAGAGCCCATGTCTTCACCTTAAAATGGCAGTTTCAGCTTGGCGGGATCCTCAGTCCTCACATGGGGTTTTCCTTCCTTTGTCTAATTGATGGGAGATGAGTTTGATGAATCAAGGACAACCTTTTTCTTTTTCCTGAAAATGCTATCAGGTTCCCCTTTTACTGACTTCCCTTGTCTACACTATTCTACTGATCAAGGTAAACTCACCTTGAGAACCAAGTGCAGTAATGAGTAGCCATCAATTTACTATCTGGCTACAGTAAAAGGTCTTTGAACTTTTAAGACCAAGTAAAAAGATTCTTAGTAATTTAATTAGTACGAGATTTTTTGAATCATCACGTCAATAATATTCTGTTTCATGTATAAATACAACAGATTTATCGCGTAATATGAATTAAAAAAATTTTAAATTATATATCTATTTTAAAAATTTAATATAATATTAAAATAGATAATATTTTCGTTCGTTATTATCTTTATAAATTTTTTTCGTAATTTCACATTAATTAAATTAAAATATATTTGTCCAAAAAGACATAGATATCAATGCAATTGACTGGTGAGATTCCATATACTGCAGCAGGAATCTGCAGCTGATTTCATTTTACAGTCAAGAATTTCTTCCTGCAGGCAAATCCATGATCTCCATTTTCTCATTCACTGTATTGATCACTTTCACCACAATCATAATAAAGTAATTATTCTTCTCATGATGTCGAGAGCTTTGAAGGGCTGATTCTGTCACATTCAAAGATCAAATTTTAATCATGGAAACCTTGACAACCACCTTTTCCTTCTCCTCGAGAAAATGGTATCAATTCATATTTCTTCCTCCATGAAAGCACCCATTATAACGAAAAGCTTTGCTACAGTATTAATTTTGTAGTAATAATACGATCGATAATCAATTTTATAAGATTTATGACGTAAAAGATCTATTGAAATGATGACGACAAAACATTAAGACTTGTGGCATTATTAATTGACTAATCTTTCGTAATTAAACACTAAAATTAAAAATAATTAAAAAAATAATCTTGATAATCTAATTTTGATCTTCTCATATCAAGACAAACATTTTCATTTGATTGTTTTTATTTATAATCATCGAAAATTATGTATTTCAAATTTCACAACATACGACAATTATTTTAAATTTTTACAAAATAATTAAAAACAATCACGACTTTCTAATTTAAGATGATGATTGTTTCTATCATGTACATACATTTTTTTTTATGTATTTTCATGTAATATAATTGTGTTTGAAACGTATATGTTTTCAAATCATCTAAACTTATTCTCTTCATAATTTTTTCTTTCACTTGGTGTCGGCTATACAGTAAGACTGAAAGGAGGACCCACGAGGAAGACCATTTAGCCTTATGTGGCCGCCGCACTCGTGTAATTTTTGTTTGCCACCATGAATCTACCATGGAGCATGAATCTGCAGTCTTATCAAGGAAAATTTTGACACAATGAGCAAAGCCAAGATTCCCTTTCTTATTCCTCAAGAAAATGCAGGAAAAGTTGAAAATGGGTGACAAGCATTGGGAAGAATCTCGTTGGTTTTGGTTAGATTTCTGTGGGAAATTTTGTCTCCTTCGTCACAGTGTTTTGAGTTGCCAAATTCGTTGAATGACGGCTGCCCAATTGCTTCGTGTGGGTCACATTTGGCCCGTTGATGGTATGAATCTGCCAATAAACATTTCCTTTTCCAGTTCCAATTTATTGTCTCATATCCACTCTAGAAACCCAAAATTTACCTCTATTTATCTATTGCACAAGGGGCTCATTCCCATTCCAAATCAAACATTTTTCATAAAACAATCTAACAGTTCTCGATTTTTTTTACTGAGTTTATATTTGATTCACGTAATAATCAAATGTCATCTTGTAAACGAGATGATAATATTTAATTCTTGATAATATAAAAAATTTATAAATAATTTTTCGACTTACGAATGTATTCATATCTAATCAATTCTATACTTTAGAATTTAAAATTTACTTCAAATTATCTACTACACATGGGTTCATTTTCATTCCAATTCATGCAACATTTTCCATGAAACATCTTAACAATTTTCGATTTTCATTTACGAGGTTTATATTTAATTTCAAGTAATAGTACAATGTCATTTCATATACGAGACATAACATTCAATTCATAATAGAATATAAAATCTATAAACCCTTTTTTTACCTGCAATTATATTCATTTGACCATGACCAAGGCCTTTCTCATTCGAAAATCAATTTCATTTACCAACAAATTGAAATTCAAAAGACTTTTTTCATAAAATTTCATAATAATTCCCTATATTCATTTATGAATTTATATTTGATTCACGTAAATATAAACTTTCATCCCATAAACAAGATGATAAAGTGTAATTCATGATAGTATATAAAATTTATAAACTTTTTTTCTTCTTTTACCTGCAATTGTATCCATGTTTGACCATGACTGAGCCACTTTTTCTTCCTTTCCTTTACACTTTTCCTTCCTTAATATAATTTCTTCGTTGCAATTACATGACACTTTTCCCTTGTCTTGCTTTGGCTTAAACTATATATCTATGTGCTGTAAACACCAAGTAGATTTGACATCATTAATGACTTAAAATTCAAGCTTTTGGCTATTATTTTAACAAACTAATTCAAGTAACTTTTCCAACATTATTTTAATGCAACCTTAAACAAAAAAACATCTCTTCAACTTGCATAAGCTCTGCTGAGATCAGTTCTGAGAGAGTAAAAAGACCCTTTTCAGCTATTTCCTTGAACTTACCACCCTTCACCGTAAAGCTCTAGTTGTTGAAGTCAGCGATTACTGAGTAGTTTTCAAAGCCAAGTTGAACTCAAGAATCATGGCTTTATTGTAGAATATATGCCAATTTTGCACGTGCCCCAGCCCCCATGGCTGCTGCTGCTGCTGCTGCTACAGCTACCCTTCAAGTAATACAAAGGCAAATATAAACCACCCAAACCAAACCAAACCAGACCAAGCAAGAACTTCTCTTGTAATAAATCAACATTAAATACTGTTTGACACTCAAAATTATTCGACCAATCAGTGATTGCCATGTGGTTCACGGATATTCCATCACGATACAATATTTACTTACAATGTTTATAATTACGGAATTTATATCGTAAAACTTTATTCATATGTATATGGTAATAGTAATAGTAATGGCTTTTTTTTTAATTAGTTAAAATATTTGAAAGAAGAGAATTGAGTTCTAACTTTTTAAGTCCATGGAAAGATAGATCAATAATTGGTTCAAAGGCTTTCAAGCAACAAGTTGCTTAATTGTTATAAAGTAAAAGAAGGGGGGTTTCATCTCTTTTTTATTTTCCTATTTTTTATGCATTATTACCAACTTTCACATCTTCCTTTCCAGCCCAATTTGGCTAAGACAAAACCAAAATAAAATACTGCAAGGGTAACAGGGGAGACAGAAATAAAAAATAAAAAAAGGGTATTAATTAGTAAAATAAATAGTAGTAAATTAATAAATAAAAAAGGGGGCAATCAAGAGTAGCACCAAATCCTGCTTATCTATCAGCTGGTTTATCTATCTGCTTGTTTTCTTATAGTCTATTGAATTATGTGTTTATCCATCTGCTTGTTTATGCCCCTTTGACTGAAATTGAGTGCATCCATTTCCTTCAACAAGACAAGAAAGACAAAAGCAAATAAGCACTAAACATGTTTTGTTTTACTTTTTTTTGTAGCTATAAAATCTTGCATAATTGATCATTATGCTCATTAGTTGCTCCAGCCACTACTAATTGAATCAAATATAAGAATCTTATCTCTTTAATAAGGTTTTTCTCTTTTTGTGTACGTACGTGCACGCATAAAAAACCATATATAAAAGCTAAACTTTTAAATTTATTAACGGTTCACTCTAACATTTAAAGGGGTCTCTTACAAATCTAGAATTCAAGTCTCAACTCCTTTAACTATACTTTTAACTTCTTATATTACCCAAATCTGAGGAAAACATGAGAAAATGATTGGCCATGGTGGAAATTCTCAAATTAGCCTTTATTTAGTTTACTTAATCTCTGTTGCCAAGGAACATTTTTAAATGTCAACAAAATAAAAAAAAATAGAAGGATAAAAAGAAGGGAAAATTTTGGACAGTGATGTGATTTTTGTAGCAGAACAAGTGCCTGAGAGGTTGGTGTGAAATCTAAGGGTGTAGGAAGGAAATGAACCAAGGACAAAAGAAACAATTCTATTCAATTAAAACAAGTCTCAATTCTTTTGTCCTTATTAAGGCATCCCATTCCCACACATTTGCAAAGGGATTATAAAATGAGATAAAGATGTTAACCCCATAGTTTTATTTCTCTATACATTCAAGTGGGAGTATTAGAATAATCTGAGCAGTTCTAAGAAAACCAATGACCAATCCATTCCTGAGGATCAACTGCTCACTAATCAGTTCAATTCTGGCAATACCCAACTTTTTTTTCTTTAATGAAAAGCTTTTTAAGGGTACTTCGTCCAGAAATGGTAGTATAGATAAGAGAAGTTAGAGATTGATATATATCTGATTCACCTTGGAGGAATCCCGGTCTTGTAAGTGTATATAAGGAAGGCCAGTAAAATAGACCAAAACAAGTCCTAACACTATTTCCTTGTAGTTCCTTTGTCCTTCTCTGTCAAAGTCAGGTTCTTCAAGGACTAAATGGAAATACTTAAGGCAGTAGGCACTCATTCATAGGAGAGAAAGGAAGAGATTTGTAAAGACAAAAAGTAAGGTCTGTCTTATTCCTTGGTTGTTTTGTTTACTGCCCTTTGTCTTGCTTTTTGCCTCTTTGAGTCCCTCGGCAAAACCTGCCATCGCTGAAAGTTTTTTGTATCGATTTTCTGTAGGTAAAAAATCTGAATTTAGGAGCTTCTGTGATTCTGATGAACCAGGCAGCTTCTTTTTATGCATGGTTTTCCTTGTTCTTTTTGAGAAGAAAAGAAAGAACGTTTGCTTAACTATTTGTTTTCATTAAAATTTCTTTCTCATGATGCAGATATAACCTCTTTAGAATCTTGGGAAAGTTGTGGCTTTTGGAGGTTCTCAATCCAGGGGAAAGGTAGATTCGTTTTTACCTCAATAAATCTTCCCTTTTTCTCTGACGTGATTGTCTTTTTTTTTTTTTTGGTTTTCAAAGAAACCCTTTGTCTCTTTGTATAAATCTGTGCTAATTTGGAGAAAACTTGAATGTGAAAGTGAAGTCTATGATGTTGGTGTAGGAATTCAGCAATGGAAGATAGATATACTTTTTCCAGGCAGGGCAGCGGTGTATGGAGAGCCTTGAGAGATGGGGATTTTGAGGAAGAAGATGTTTGGGCAGTTCTCAAGGAAAGAAAAGATTGTACTTCCAAGTTTGGCCAATCAATTGAATCCTATGCTCCTGTTAGAAGACACCTTCCAAGTGCTGCAAGAATGATCCCAAGAGCTTTCTCTGATATCAATAACATTAGCAATATTGACAGTTCTAGTTCCAGTTCCAGTCATGAGATAAATGGAGTTAAGCAGCAATCAGCTCCTGTCAACATTCCTGATTGGTCAAAGATTTCTAAAAACAAGTCAAAGAAGGCTTCTTCCAGGAATTATCCATGGCATGATGATGAGGGTGATGATGATGGGGGTGATGGCTATGGCCATGATGATAATGGGGTTGTCAATGGTTTTGGAGAGAGTGATGATGAAGAAGATGATGATAGAGAAGAGGATGATGAAGAATACAATTCAAAGGTGCCACCACATGAATTTCTTGCCAGGAGGCTTGCAAGGACTCAGATTTCTTCTTTCTCTGTTTTTGAAGGTGTTGGCAGAAAACTCAAAGGGAGAGATTTGCGGAAAGTGAGAAATGCTGTTTTAACAAAAACAGGTTTCCTTGAATGATGTTGTCTTGGGCCACATCATTGTGATCATAAATGGTAATGTCAATGTGGAAAAGAGTGAAATCTTTCTGGTTTCAAGCTAGTATTTGTCAGTGTTATGTTGTATATGAAGGTTTTGCATGGTTGCTTAGTCCTGAAGTTGTCTATTGCGTTGTCAGGGCATTAGAGATCCATTCTTATGTGAAAAAAAAATTGAATGAATCAATGATCCTTGCCATCTGGGTTTTCATTAGAACATATTCAAGCTCAGTTACAGTGATTTTTTATGATAAAGCTGAAACTTGTTTCTTAGCCATTAAATTTGCAGAGGCATCCTGCTATAAATCATAAGCATCATTGAAACAGTTCAGAGGCATGAAATGGTTATAAAAACTTGTCAATTTCATGGAAATGAAAGCATTGAGTAGGAAGATAAACAATGTCTGCATGGCAGAATTCATTGACGAGAACATCCATTCGAAAGCACTATGTTTCTCAGATTAGATACTTTGCTTCATGGCAGCATATGGGATTAAAGTAGGGTCCCTTGCAAACAATCCTGGAGAGGTGCAGACCTCATGAAATGAACCTCACCTATGTCAGGATTGTTCCAACCTTCTCAGTCAACTCTATTAAGTATCTGATATGTCCATATCAATCACAAGGTTGGACATGCCTGGCTAAGTACCAAAATTGGGACCATTGAGTTAGAGATCATGTTCCTTTTCTGTTTCTGTCATTTTAAGCTTGCGTGTAGGCAAATGAACTTTCATTCAATGAATGAGGTTTCATTTTTTCCTTTGATTGCTCTGTTGTCATTTTTCTTTCGGAAACTTTGAAACGATACACAGCAATGAACTTCACACGCAAATCATGAATTCGAATTACATGTTTCATGAGTGAGAACAAGGGAATTAGATCATAAACTAGTACAAGAGAATGCAATTATGGGAAATGACAAAATGGAATAGGAAAGTGTGAATGTGGGTATCCAACTTCAGATCTTTCATTAAGTTCCTGATGGTCCCAATAGTCAACACCTCCTGGATAGATTGACTCTATTAATTACATGTTTGTTGGATATTAATAGTGATAACTATCAAAGAAAAAAATGCATTCTCAAGGCATCCTGCTGGCAATTGAAAGAAAGCTAGAAGTGGTTTTAGCCTTAAAAAGCACATTTTCCATGACTCAGATTGAATGCAGTCCATATTTTAGCCTCAGCAGAAGTGGACCTGGGCTGCTTTTGCTCTATTAAAACTTGAATTGACATCAACTAGAACTGGGACAATGCCCACATATCATTACTTGCCCCGAACCCAAGTCCAAGGTGAAAGGTACTTTCCACCCACTTGAATTGTTCTTACCTGTACATGAGAAAAAAAGCCCTTCCCTTTCTTTTAATTTTGTTCTATTTTTGCAGATAATTCCAGAGACAGGGTTCTCATTTTCAGACTTCTTCTCCTGACGTGAGAACTCCACCAAGGATACCCAATCTGTCATTGATGTAGTTTGGGGATTTTCAACGTTCAAGTTAGAAAACAATTCAAGTTTTTACTTCCACTTGAAAAGGAAGAAAGAAGATAAGTAAGACTACTGCAGTAGTTGCTGTTGGCAAGAATATACCATCTTGAAGGCATATTTGAGTTTGAAGAACTCATATCACACAACAACAACCATTTGTTCTTGTGAACCAGAAACATCATAGTATTGGTATAAGATTTTGCCTTCCACAAGCTGCAAAATGTGAACAAATTCATTAACAAGATTATTTGATCCACACCCAGTTCTCTTCATTGTTCAAATCCTGGAAAACGATCACTGATAACACTGGAACTCATACCAAACAACAATCATTTGTTCTTGTGAATCAGAAACATCATGGTATTGGTCTAGGATTATGCCTTCCACAAGCTACAAAATGTGAACAAATTCATTAACAAGATTATTTCAACCAAACCCACTTCTCTTCATTGTTCAAATCCTGGAAAACTATTACTGATCACATTGGAACTCATACCACACAACAATCATTTGTTCTTGTGAATCAAAAACATCATATAGTATTGGTCTAAGATTATGCCTTCCACAAGCTACAAAATGTAAACAAATTCATTAACAAGATTATTTGATCCACACCCTGTTCTCCTCATTGTTCAAATCCTGGAAAACAATCACTGATAACATTGGAACTCAAACCACACAACAATCATTTGTTCTTGTGAATCAGAAACGTCACGGTATTAGTCTAAAGATTAAGCCTTCCACAAGCTACAAAATGTGAACAAATTCATTAACAAGATTGTTTGATCCGAACCCACTTCTCTTCATTGTTAAAATCCTGGAAAACTATCACTGATCAAATTGGAACTCATACCACACAACAATCATTTGTTCTTGTGAATTAGAAACATCATGGTATTGGTCTAAGATTAGGCCTTCCACAAGCTACAAAATGTGAACAAATTCATTAACAAGATTATTTGATCCACACCCACTTCTCTTTATTGTTCAAATCCTGGAAAACTATCACTCATCACATTGGACAAATACCAATATTCTGCTAACAAGTAACTATCACTGTCCTATGTTCCATGCATGTTTAGACATCAAAATAATAGACTCTAAGCATACATTAAGTTAGACTCAAAACAACTAGATATTGCTGCAATCTTTGCCTCATCGAACCCTTGCAATTCTTTGCTAGCCAAGTTCCTTAGCTCCTCCACCAATTTGTTCAACTCCTGGTCATGGCTTCGGATCCTGTTCAACATTCCTTGTATCTTCCCTATGTATAGACCATACCTTCTCATTTTCTCTATTTCCTCTTCACTTCCACCTCCTACTATTGCCCCGCAGGCAGCTGCACAAGCATGCAATGCACCTTCATATTTCTCACTGATGCGTTCGATCTCTCCGATGTAGCTGGCCTCTTTATTGCCCGATTGACAACGTTCTACTTCACAATACTGTCCATACATCATTCCTTGTGAACCTGCAGCACGTGTGATCTCAACCATCACACGTAAAACCCGCTCTGAGTCATTATGGACCGGATCGTCCGATCTAGCCAATAGCTCAAGTCCAGATGGTATCATTGCATCCCCAGTGAGCAACTCGATGTTGGGGCCGTATGCATGATGAATCATGGACTTTGGCCTTGAGCTCTGTGTCAATGGAAGATGCTCATGAGTGAATGAAGCTGCATACATGAGGTGAAGTGCGGATGCCGCCGGCAGAGCTTGATCCCGGCGCCCACCTACCAGCTCACAGGCCTCCACACATAACGCCGGTGCGGTGTTTTTTGGGCTGGCAAACGTCAAATGGTGCATGGGCTCAAAAACAGAGAGAGGTTCTCTTACCGGGATGGCCTGCTTGAGATGGGCTTCAATGTCAGCGTTTATGGAGGCCCAATAGGACTGGTTGCATGACATGGTAACCTTCATAGGTTTATAAGGCATGGGATTTGGTCTACAGGGAACTCGCAACAATGGGTTGCCATTGATGTGGGAGAGAGCTCTTGCCATGGATGAGAATGAGGAAGCTTCAAGCTCGAAAGGAAAAGAATGGCGAAGAAAGAAGCCTTTGGCTTTTGGTAGATGGGGTTGTGGAGGACAAAACGTTGTGGGTACAATTATATGAATTATGAGATGTCATCATTTCTAAGTTAGATTTTTTTTATAAATACCATTTTGGAATTATTAGATGGTAGTTCTATTGGTTTGTGGGAACCACACTAGGGACACATCTTTTTGCAATTACAACCGCAAAAAAATTAATATTTTCTCCCTAAAACATATAAAAAAATATCGATCTAACTTTTAATTCATATAATATGATTAATCAAAAAATTATCAACAAAAACGAACTTACTAACGATTGATTGATTGATAAATATGCCCAATTTTAAATCCTTAACTAAAATTAGGCCTTGTATGCAATTTATTGTCATTCCCATAAAATATAATCGAAATATTTTTTTTTACGAGATTCGTGAAATTAAGTCATACATGATAAGAAAGTGACAAAAATAGTGTTTAGGGTTTGATCAAAATCAAGATAGGGAAATCTAAGTCTCTTAATCCCAAATACTTTTGCATTAATTTTTTTTTTGTCTGCCACTCTTCAATTATATATCTTATATAAACAATTTAGTGCCACACAATTCTCTGTCTCCATCAGTGCCTAGGTAGAAAAGCGTGTTCAAATTTTCATATTTTATTGTTCATTTTTAATTTTTTTTTAATTTTAAAACTTTAAAATCGATGTCAATTACACAACCAAGACCTAATTTCAACTATATTGATACCTAATTGGTCGGTACAAAGATAGCAATCCACCATTTAGTCAAAAGGAGGATCATCCTTCCTTTGATGCAAGCATTGTAATATAAAACCTTCACTGTCGTTACAATCTTATCTATCAATATCTGACCCATCAAATCAAATAAATTAAAACGTGTATAACAGACAATTACAATTAAAAGAAAAATGAGTAAATAATATTATCTAATTTGAAAGCTTCATAACGTGAAAAAAAAGATAAATTAATTAAATTTCTTAGAATTAGTTAGAAATTAGAACTATTAATTTATTTTGTAAAGATGGTAAATAAAATAAGTATTTTATAGTTTAAGACTAATAAATTTGTTATTGGTTTGAAATTTGACACTTATTTGTTTAGTGTTTTTTTTTATAGAATTCTCATGCCACCATTAACAATAAAATAACTAGAAAATCTTTTATTTTCATTAAATTAATATTAATAATAAATTATATTTTTAAAAAACTTAAAAAAATTTTAAAATAAAGTTAATAGTCTAAAATGAAAAGAATAAAAAATAAACACAAGTGTAAACCTCAACTATTGTCTCCTTATTACAATGGAGCATAAGAACCATTAGTCTAGCCAATGTTTTTCTTTTCTTTTTTTTAATTATGATCTCTATTTTTTTTCCCTTAAAACAATTAATTAATAAATATTATTAAAAGTTTTAGATTTTTTTTCCCTTAAAACAATTAATTAATAAATATTATTAAAAGTTTTAGATTGCGATAAGCCATGAGTTTGGAGAGGGTGGAAAACGTGGAGTTCGTGGCCAAGACTTGCGTGCATCACATGCATAGACTTCTCCTAAAACTTCTTACCATTTGCCATGTCCCTTTCTTTGCTTTTGTTTTCTTTCTCTATTTCAAGTTCCGAATAGTAGAAAGGAAATCAACAAATAATGCATCCTTATTTTTTTTTTCGTTTTTAAATGTGTATTAATTTCAGTTTTGAAATTTTACGAAAATTAAGATAAATTTTTTATTTTAATATAGTTTATATTAAATAATTTAAATATTTTTTAATAAATATAAATATTCAATACTTTTTAATATGAAAATTTTAAAAATTCATTAAAATTATATCTGTAATGTAAATACAAATCAATTTTCGAAGGAATGGGTAAGAACCAGCCGCAATGACAACAATGTTAAGCAGTTATAATGACCATGACGTTAGACTGTATTTCGAGTTGAGTGTTCACTTTCCCCTTCAACTTTTATTTGAACAAACACGACCTGACACAGCAAGAAGTAGATAAAGAAATGGTAGCTCCAACTGTAACTGCGGTGGAGGACCAATACCGACTAATGAAATATAAAATTGATTTGGTTGGTTTATTTTAAATTAATAAATTAAATTTTTTTAATAAATTATAATATTAAAATTTATAAATTTTATTTATAATTATAGAATATATATAATATTATTATATTTTATATATATATGAAATTAGTGATATAATTTATATATTATAATATTTTAATTTTTATATAAAAATTTGTATAAATAATAATCGATTACAAACAATATCTTATAAAATTAAAATGATAATTAATACAATTATTAAGTGTAGTCATATAAATAAAGTCTATTATAAGTTATAGTAATACTTATGTGTATAAATTTAATATATATAATATCACTTTATTATATATATAATTAATGACATAAATTATATATTATAATATTTTATATCAAATTTTATATAAATAATAACTAATAATAAATAATATGTTATAAAAACTAAGGTGATAATTAATAAAATCATTAAGTGTAATCATATAAATAAAATTTATTATAAGTCATAATAATTTTTATCTATAAATTATATATATATATAAAATAGTGATACGATTATATATATATATTTATATATATCATAACATTTTATATTACAAAATATTACTAAGATCTAACAATTATAACATAACAGCATGTAAGATATTTACTATCATATATTATAACATTAACCTATAAGTTATATCATTTAAAATATATAACTTATTATTTTATATTAATATAATTTTATAAATAAATAAAATTAAAATTAAAGTATTATTATTATGATTTGTATACGTAAATATAATAAATTAACATATTTTAAGTATATTATTAATTAAGTTTCTAATCAATTTTTCTTAATATATATAAAAAATTATATATATTAATATATAATATATACAAAAAATTAGTTTGGGTTTTTTGCTAGATTGATCTAAAAATTTTAAAACCGAGAACTGACTAAAAAACTAATTTGACCAAACTATTTTATCTAAATTGCATCTGGTTTGGGTAGGGAATTGGTCTAATTTGATTTTGCTCATCTCTAATTGATTTAGGGGTGCGCAAATGGATGAATTGGGTAGTTTGATTTGTCATATTTAAGAACCAAATGGATCAAATATTTTTAAAATATCAACCAAAACCGACCAAATATAAAAAAAGATCAAATCGACCAAATATAGAACTAATTTGGTTGGTTTGGTTTTGAGCCAATGGACTAAAATTTTTTCACCTTTTTTTTTTTACAAATTATAATATTAAAACTTATAAACTTCATTTATAATTATAAAATATACAAATTACATATAAATTATATATATATATATAATCTCACTTTATTATATATATGAAATTAATGATACAATTTATATGTTATAATATTTTATTTTTTAATTCAAAATTTGTATAAATAATAACTAATTATAAACTGTATGTTATAAAAATTAAGGCGATAACTAACAAAATTATTAAGCATAATCATATAAATAAAGTTTACTATAAGTTACAGTAATATTTATGTATAAATTAAATATATGTATATATAAAATATATTATTTTATTATATATATAAAATTAATGACACAACTTATATGTTCTAATGTTTTATACCAAAATTTGTATAAATAATAACTAATATAAACAATATGCTATAAAAACTAAAGTGATAATTAATAAAGATATTAAATGTAATCATATAAATAAAGTTTATTATAAGTTATAGTAGTTCTTATGTTTAAATTAAATATATATATATAATAGCTATACAAAATTTTTTATATATATATGTGTATGTATTCTTAACATTCTATATTACAAAACATTTTTAAGATGTAATAATTATAACATATTACTACATAGAATATTTACTATCATATATTGCAATATTAACATATAAGTTATATCATTTAAAATATATAACTTGTAATTTCATATTAATATAGATTTATAAATGAGTAAATATAATTAAAATTAAATTGTTATGATTACGATTTGTTTACGTATATATAAGAAATTAATATATTTTAAGTATATTATTAATTAAGTTTACTATTAGTTTTTCTTATTATATATAAAAAATATTATTTATATTCATATATATAATATACATAAAAAATTAGTTTGATTTTTTGGATGGATTGGTCTAAAAAGTTTAAAATTGAGAACTGATCAAAAAATTAACTGGACCAATTGATCCAATAAACCAATTAGACCAAACTTTTTTATCCAAATCATATTTTGTTTAGGTGGGTAATTGATCTGATTTGATTTTGTTTACTCTTAAGTTGACTAGCTTTTTCTTCTCTTTTTTTAAAATTAATTAAATTTTTTAGAAATAATTAATCAATAAATTAATCAAATTTCTTAGAATTAGTTAGAAGTTAGAAATTAGAACTATTGATTTTTTTTTATAAAGAAGGTAAATAAAATAAGTATTTTATGGTTTGAGACTAATAAATTTGTCTTTAGAGTTTAAAATTTGACACTTATCTATTTTGTGTTTTTTTTAGAGAATTTTCATTGCAACGTTAAGAATAAAATAATTAGAAAATATTTTATTTTTATTAAATTAATATTAATAATAAAAAATTTAAAAAACTAAAAAATTTTTATTAAGTATCCAAATATATATATATATATATATATATGGTATCATAATCAAGTATCTAAAGGGTATGGTATGATACACATACAATATAACTTTTTTTGCTTAATTATAAAACTTTTATTAGGTATCCAAGTCTAGATAAATTTTGTGGGGATAATTTTTTTTCTGTTCACTAAGCCAAGTTAAAAAAACAAGCTTTAAGTAGATTGTCATTACGTATGCAAAGTTGAGATGTTTGTGGAATGTGCTTAGGACTTGGGGTCCTCAATTCTATGTTTTTGATTGTCGGTAGATCTAGAACAGGTGTTATAAAGGTTTTGCCTCCTTTTTTGTAAAGTTTGTTTTAATATCTAATTAATTATTACTTTTCAAAAAAAATAAATTTTCATCACCAATTATTACAACAACAATGTTAGGCTTCATTTTTAGTTACATGTTCATATCTTCTTCAACTTCATTAAGGGAATTGGATTTAAATTTTTTGATTGTAGTGGGTATGTTTGCAGATATCATTTTTGAGTCCCTTTTTTTTTATTATTTAAATGAAATGTTTATAAAATTTTTTAACAAAATACAAATATTTAATATTTTTTAATATGAACAAATTAAAAAATAATGAAAAATATATTTGATTTCTAATGTAATACTCTTTAAAAATTATGAAAACAAATTATGAATTTTTTTAACAAAATATAAATATTGCGCGTTAATCTAAACTTTAATTTTATGACAATATTCTTATTTGGTTGAGCAAAAAGGAAATTTAAGTTTTTAAGAGATTGATCGATCAAGAATACTTAATATGATCAGTAAAAAGTTGGAAACAAGTAAAATAATCAACATATAATTTTTATTATGTGATTTAAATGGTAATAAAATTATACATATAATATGATACTAATCAGAAACAATATGAATCGATGCATTATATCATTTTGATCAATTATATTGCACGTGTATCACACGATACACGTACGATATAATATATTAAAAATCTAAATTTTTTAATAAAATATAAATATTCAATGCTTTTAATATATAAAATTAAAAAACATGAAAAATATATTTTTACATTTGATTATTAATAAAATATTTTTAAAAAATAAAAAAAATCTTAAATTTTTTAAATAAAATATAAATATCGTTAAATATTCTAAACTTTGATTACGTGCATTTGATTATTAATACAATACTCTAATTTGGTTAAGTAAAAAAGAAGCTTAAATGTATAAAAGGTTGTTCAGTTAAGAATAGATATTAATGTCATGATTAATGACATGAGTCATGAAGTTATTCACCTAGATGTTATCATTAATTAAATTTATACTAATGATAGGGAGGTTGAAATTAAGGGTGAAACAATGAACTATGAAGATAAAAATCATTATATAATAATGCTAATTAAGATAACCGACATCGTTTATGAATGATGTTGTTTTAAATGGAGAAACATCTATTCAGATTTGCAACATTTGATATTTTATTTTATTAATCACAAACTTTTCTAAGATCATAGCTGATTTCTAATGAATCATCTTTGTTTGTGAATCAACATCGTTCATGAGTTATGTGGTTCTATTAGAGAAGCACTCTTCCGGATTTATAACATTTTGATGTTTTATTTTACCGACCACATATTTTTCTAGATTGCCTTATCATTCTTATTTGTGTACTTACTCTAAGATCAAGCAAGTCATGATGAGCTTATATACTCATATGAAAATTAATTGCACCAATAGTCTAATCAACTGGAATCCATCTATATTGTTTATTGTGTATTTTACATGGCAATAACATGATTATCTATTTTTAGTAATGGTTGTATTGGGCATTTTTGGTAATTGATTTATTAGTAAAGATATTAATAATGAAAATATTATTATTAACATTATATACATAGACAGAAGGGATTTGAGAGAGAGGAACGACTACATTACAAAATATTAAAAATATAAAAAATATAATATTTTTAAAGATATATTATTAATGATTAATTTGTTAAGTCAATTTGATTGTAAATTTCAAATATTAAAAATCAATCGAAATATTCAAATCGAAATGTGCTTTGTCTAATTATAAAATATTTAGACGAATAGTTAATATTTGTTCACACAATTTTTTTTTAATGAAGTTGGGCTTTGGCCCATAAATTAATGAGGTTTCAATATTCAATAATGTGGATATGGGTCAGTTGATCAATGAAAATTCTATTAATTTCTTATATAGTTAAAAAAGATGTTAATAAATAATATTATCAAAAAATTTCCTATTTAGTTAAATGTTATTTTGTTTTCTAAAATGTTTATCCTGCCACAAATTTTACAAAGATTTAAGATAAAAATTTTAGATTTAACTTATTTTATATTAAAAATTTCAAAATTTTTAAAACAAAATATAAATATTCAATACTTTTTAATATAAAAATAAAAAAATCATAAAAAATATACTTGTAATATACAAAAATATTCATGAAAAAAAAAAAAAAAAAGTGAGTAGACATGTGGCAAGACACATGAAGCCATTAAGAACAATACTTGAACTTAGATCCTTGCATTCACGGAATAATAATATTAATAATAATAACAATAATAATAGAAAGAAAATGTTTCTATACCTAGACTTCAACAATATATAGCAATGAAAAGATTAAGGTTTCAACACCAAGTAGGTTCAATCCAGCAGGAACACAATTGTGCTCTAGTGCTATAGAAATCTTCGTCTGCATCCCCACTCTCAAATGAATGAAATTTCTTTGTATCGAGAGAGTAAAACACAATGCTGTGACCACTTTGGCCACAGAATCTGGGGAAGTAGATTTTGTTCTCCATGCCAGGGGCTGTTGCCATTGCAGCAAGAGAAGAAGAACGACTGATGTGAATCATATAATGTCCCAAACTTTCAACCTCGATCCATGCCATTGGAAAGTGATTCAGCTTGAAAATCCGAACCCCTTTTCCAAATTCACCAACAAACACAGACAAAAGCTCCCCATTACATTCCACCAGAAAGTTCTGATGGTAGGAGCAGCAAGGCCTTGTAGGCTTGGGAAGAACTCTCCAGGTGACCTCACCGGCTGTAAATTGTAGAACTCCAAGATTTCCACCACGTCCCAAACAATAGAATGCTCCCTGATAGAATACCGGGCTATTTTCACAGAAGACAAAGTCAACATCCGTCCATCCTTGGCCCCCTAGACGAGTGTAGCTTAGGTTAACTTTTTCATAGAACTTTTGACCAAACACAACAACCAAACAATCTGAAGAGGTTGGATAGCAGGAAAAGCCCATGTTAGAAGTAAAGAAACGATAGGGAATATCATCTTTTGGAAATGGGACGATTTTTCTAGTGAACGGATTAAACAGGAATGTAGAATTCGTATTCCCAGACATTAGCAGCCACCCATTCTTTGAATAGTAAATCCCACAGTTTGATAATGAAGGAGGTAAGCTTATTAGATACTTGTCACCATGTCTTGGGTCAACCAAGGAGCAAACACCATCTTTCTCGAAGAAGATAAGCCATTGGGACAGTGGAGGGAGCTCCAACCCTTCCAGGGCCTTCTTCTTCCAATCAACAGGAGGGGATACCGACCGAAACATTGTACAAGTAGTGCGCATGTGCAAGTAATCAACTAAAGTGAGACGCATAGCAATCTCAGCAGCAATATCTAATGGAAGATCATTATATTTCTTCCTTCATCGCCTCCTTTCTCCACTGCCACATTGCTTTGTCCCTCTTGGACTTGCACTCTTGCATATTCCTCTTCTGCCATAATGCATCTAGAAAATGACATTGAATGAGTAGAAGACAGTACTGTTAATCACTGCTAACATCTCAAATTACAAAAGCAAAGGCCTACAACACTAGGCAAGTTCAATTGACTTCAAATAAAATAAATAAATATATCTAAGTTTAGTTTTTACTCCAGAATGATGAATATGATGATTGTATATTTGGCAAAGGACGAGAATGTGATAATGTTCTATCTCTAATATTGTACGAGTACAAAATTTCCTTTAAAGGAAAATATATTCGATTTCCATGGATTTCTGGCTCGATTACTTGACAACAAAAAGCATAATTTTCATAATAGTTCAGAAAGAAGGCAAGATCCGGTACATGTTCAACTTTCTCCCAAATCTTGTGGGATGGATCTACTCTATGAACATCAATAACAACAACTTCTTTCCCTATCACTGCATATTCTCCAAATCCAAACGATATAGAGTAGATTTTGCCTTGAAATTCAGGCAAGAACAGTTGAGAGCGTGTTATACCAGTAAGGCCCATTGGAATCTGAAAACGTAATGATCTCATGACTATGCTGTCAGGTTTAAGCTTCTCGATTAGTAATAACCTTTGTCGTGGGTATGTTCGGGCATAAAAATTGCCATTGCAGCTAATAATGCGAAGTGGGTTGTATCTCTCGACAAGACCATCATCACCATCATCATCCTGTTGAACCAGCTCTCCACTCTCTTTTACGCACTTCTCCACCTCTTTCTCATAATTTAGCTCGATCCATTGTTTGTCTCCAAGCTGAAGGAATAGAATGGAAGGAACATAGGTTGCGGAAAGGAAGATCATGCAATTGGGGTCACTTCGAGGGGAGGAGATAGTGCACTGGTGAATGGTTCCTTCGAAGTTCAATGATGGTAGACTTATTTCCTGCAGTGTAAAGGGGTTCCAAAGAAAGAATTGCCGGTGACCAGCGTCAGAAAAAAGACTCCAGCCATGACATGAAGTCCAAAACTTTTGACCTTGCAACCCTGGGATTCTCCTGAGGTGAGCCTCGTTGGGGTTTGTTATGGTGCAAAAGGTTTGGGATTCATTGTTTTCGCCATGCGAGTAAACAAGCAAAGGATAAGGACCAGGTGCTGGTGGCCATGGGAGACAATGCTTCTGTTTCTTAGCCGCTGCCATTGGAGAGGTCACAAGAACGTTGTTATGAAGGAATTGTCCAATGCTATAAAACCTAATTAAGGTTGTATTTATATAATGAGTTAAAGGCATTACATTTATGACAAAAATATCCTAAGTTACACAAAAAAAAAAAAAAAACCCGAAGCCCAAAGCAAGGCTTTCATATCTGTTTGAGACACTAATCAAGCTTGATGATGTATTCAAATTCCTAAATTTTTTAGATATGACTCTTGATTTTTCTTACCATGTAAAATCTTATTATTATGAATGTAAAAGATATTTTCATCAAATATATATATATATATATATATATCAAGATATCAAATTAATAATTTCATAATTGCAAAATCTTCTAGAGATTTCCTTACTTTCAAATGATTTTTGTATTTATTAGAGTTTAAGGTTTGTTAATTTTCTCTTGCGCCAAAAGGACCTTAAATTTGTGAGGAATTATAATAATTCATAATTATTCTCAAATGGTGAGTTACGGATAACTTCTAATCTAAACTATATTTGTTCTAATGTTCAAGCAATTCATATGATATTGAATGTTGAGCTTTCAAACTATATTAATGGAAGTCCCACTTTCAAAGCTGTAGAGTCCTAAGAAGCCTAAGGCTTCGAGAATATTTTTTGGTTTCATTGTCAAACAAATTAGGTCCAAAAATAACAAAAGGTTTATTCATGAAAATGAAGTCTTGATTGGTCCATTTCCTTGGGAAAAAGAAGGTCAGCAAGTAGATAATGTATATCATTGACAAACAAATAAAGTTAGCCAATTTAGTTTGAGTACGGTTCGTTGTAAAAATAAATGTTCATTATTTTTTTGTGAAATTGTTATATATATATATATATATATATATATACATTTTTATACACTGTCAAGTCACCAAATTCTAACATTGTAAAAGTTTTAATATTATTCAAAATAATATCCACCTTGCTATTCAAAAAAAAAAATTCACCTTTTACCTCATTAATGAGATATTAACATTTGATAACCTAACTATATATAATGTATCAAATATTAATTCATATATATAATAATGCAAAAAAGAAAAAAAAACAAATAACGTGAACTTAGATCCTCACATTCATGAAATAATAAGAGAAGGAAAATATCTCTATGCCTAACAACTAAGCTTCAACAATATAGCAATGAAAAGTTAATAGGTTCTCGTTCAATAAAGCAATCACACCAAGTAGGTTCTACCCAGTAGGCACACAATTGTTCTCTAGTGCTATAGAAATCTACTTCTGTATCCCCACTCTCACATGAATGAAATATCTTTGTGTCGAGAGAATAGAACTCAATGTTGCGACCACTTTGGCCACAGAATCTGAGGAAGTAGATTTTGTTCTCCATGCCAGGGGTTGTAGCCATTGAAGCAAGAGAAGGGCAAAGACTGATGTAAATCAGATAATCTCCCAAACTCTCAACCTTGCTCAATGCCATTGAAGGGTGATTCAGCTTGGAAACGCGAACCCCTTCTCCAAATTCACCAACAAACAAGGACAAAAGCTCCCCATTACATTCCAGGAGAAAGTTTTGATGGTAGGAGGAGCAAGGACTTGTAGGCTTGGGAAGAACTATCCGGGTGACCACATTGTCTCCAAATTCTAAAACTCTAAGATTTCCTCCATCTCCCAAACAATAGAATGGCCCCTGATGGAATACTGGGCTATTTTCTCGGAAGACAAAGTCTGCCTGATGATGGAACTCAGCTTTCATCCATTCATGGCCCCATAGACGAGTGAATCTTACCTCAAGGTTTGGATGGTACATTTCAATCTCAACAACCAAACAATGTGAAGAAGTTGGATAGCAAGAAAAGGCCATGTAAGAAGTAAATAAACCACGGGGAAAATAACTTTTGGGAAATGGGACAATTTTTCTAGTGAAGGGATTAAACAGGAATGTAGAATTCGTACTCCCAGACATTAGCAACCACCCATTCTTGGAATAGCAAATCTCACAGTTTGATAATGAAGGAGGTAAGTTTATTAGATGCTTGTCACCATGTCTTGGGTCAACCAAGGCGCAAACACCATCTTTCTCGAAGAAGATAAGCCATGGGGATGGTGGAGGGAGCTCCAACCCTTTCAAGGCCTTCTTCTTCCAATCAACAGGAGGGGATATGCTGATCGAAACATTGTACAAGTAGTGCGCAAGTGCAAGTAATCAACCAAAGTGAGACGCCCAGCAAACTCAGCAGCAATATCTGATGGAGGATCATTGTATTTTATTTCTTCCTTGCCTCCTTTCTCCACTACCACATTGCTTTCGCCCTCTCGGACTTGCACTTTTGCATATTCCTCTTGTGCCATAATGCATCTAGTCTTGGCTTGTTCATCAGCTTCAGTACTTGATCTATAACTGATATTGATTAAGTAGAATGAATGAGAAAACTAGACAATATTGTTAGTCAGTGCTACTATGGGAAAATATCTCAAATTACAAAAGCAAAGGCCTACAACACTACACAAGTTTTACCCCTAGAGATTGACATTGTAAAAGAAGCAACTTCAAAAGTCTATAATCTGATATGGAACAAATAGAAATATAAAAACATATAAGGACAATTGTTTAACAATTGACTTTAGTTTTTACCTTTGATTAACAATAATCCAAAATGATAAATATTGTGATTGCATATTTATTAAAAGATGAGAACACGATAGTGTTCTATCTCTAATATTGTACAAACATAAATTTTTATTTGAAGGAAAAATATATGCGATTCCCATACATTTTTGGCTAGATTATTTGACAACAAAAAACATAATTTCCATAAACATCGGTGACAAAGAACACAAGATCCGGATCATGTTCCACTTTCTCCCAAATCATCTTGGATGGATCTAGTCTATGAACATCAACAACAACTATTTCATTATCAGACACTATCAGTCCAAGTCCAAACATTGTAGAGTAGATTTTGCCTTGAAATTCAACTAAGAACCGTTGAGCTTGTGTTATACATCGAGGGGCCCCGGGAATCTTACCTAATGAGCTCATGACTATGCCATCAAGTTTAAGCTTCTCGATCAGAAATAACCTTTGTGGTGTTAGGGATGTTTTGGCATATAATAAATTACCATTGCAGCTAATAATGCGAAGTGGGTTACATCTCTCATTACCCTGCTGGACCAGCTCTCCACTCTCTTTTAAACAGCTCTCCATCTCCTTCTCATAATTTAGCTCGGTCCATTGTTTGTCTCCAAGCTGAAGGAATATGATCAGACGAACATCGTTCTCCGATAGTAAGATCATGCAATTGGGGTCACTTGGAGAAGAGGAGAAAGTGCAGTAGTGACTGGTTCCTTTGAAGTTCAATGATGGTAGTCTTATTTTCCGCAGTGTCATGGGGTTCCAAAGAAAGAAATGGTGGCCACGAGTGTCAGAAAAAAAGACTCCAACCATGACATGAAGTCCCAAACTTTTTACCTTGCAACCCTGGGATTCTACTCAGCCGAGTCTTGTTGGGATTTGTCACGTTGCAATAGGTTTGGTATTCATAGTTTTCGCCATGTGAGTAAACAAGCCAAGGGAACGGACTGGGTGCTGGTGGCCATGGCCGACGGTATTTCTTTTTCTTAGCTGCCATTGGAGGGGTCACAAGAGTGGTGTAATAAAGGAATTGTCCAATACCACAAACGCTTTATAAGTTTGTATTTATCTAATCCGTTTGACACAAAAGAATGCCATGACCCAATGGAAACTTGTTCACCATGGACATGAAGGCCGAAAGCTGTATTCACAAAAGGTTTAGCCCATTGGTCGAAAGCTGGATCGGATTTCTTGATGGGTCAGGGAGAAAATGGGATCACGAAGTTGGGCTTTTTACCCCATAAATCAATAATGTTTCTATATTTAATAATACGAATATGGGTTAGTTTTAGACCAACGAAAATTCAATAAAATTTACTAAGGGTTGGGTGCAATTTAATTTTAATTGAAGCAAAGTGAATGGGGCCATGAGGAAGTATATAAAGTGAACTTGTCGCATAACACGTGAATCAAGTCCATCACATTGTTAGGTGACAACATGTGCATCAGTATGAATCAAATAGGCCATCAGTTTGCAACACTAATAATAATAATAATAATCTATTTTCAATGGGAAGGTGGTTGTAGCCACTGCCCGCTTAAGGCTTCTATTATGTATGAAAATTCCATTCATTCACTTGCCTAAATATGTTCATTAATTACCAATTTAATTATCTAAAGGCCTTCCAATGTAGCAACAATCATTTCAATCTAATCCTATATACTTCATAGAAGACCAATATTAACCCCCCCAAAAAATTGGTTGTTAAGGACAATTCATGACTGATAGTTAGTCATTTCTTTTTTGGTACATGACGATTATATATATATATATATATATTATCATGTTTGGTTTGAATATACTAAAGGCTCTTCCCTTCAAGCCAACATTGATCTTCCAATATGTTCATGTGATCAGAGACCCACATTCATGTGGCCAAGGGTTTCAATGTTTTGTTTTTGCTCATGTTTGGGGCCACTTAGATGATGGGAGGAATGATGATTAATAACATTGCCATTGGCTAGCTTAACCTCATAAGCGATCCCTTATTAATTAGAAGAACAAAAGATTAAACTCTTCTTAGTTCCTCACAATTTGCACCAAAGAGAAGGTAAATAACCCTAGGGACTTAACCTCAATGACCCGGCACCTTTCAGAGAGTGGCCTACTCAATGCATGGGGTTTGAGTTCCTGCCTTAATTTTTTTTTTTCCTTTAGTTTTTGCTTTCCACCTCATAGGAAGTTGCCCCTAATCCCTAAAGATTAAAATAAAGAGAAGGAAGAAGAGTGAAGGCAATCATGTTGATATAATGGGCCTATTTGTTAATCTTTTTTGACTCAAAATTGATCTTATCATGGAAAGAAAGGCTCTTCATAGAAACCACACCAGCTCAAAGTGAAACTTCGTAGTGCCTTTGCAGCCTTTCGGTTGCTAAAGCAAGAGATGTTTTAAAAGTCAAGAAGGAAAAATGGAGTATAGTTCTGCTTTACAGGGACAAATTTTAACAAGCCTAACATGCAAATATATGTTACCATATAAAACAAAATATATAGATATATATATATATATATGATAAAATTATTAAATTTTAATAAATCTTTAGTGAAGATGATTTTATGATTCATCTGATCACTACCAAACAACAACATAATTAGTGGTAGGTCCTAACTCCCTTTCCTAGCTGATATGATGACATCTTATCTGTCATTAAAATATACAGAGAGAATATAAAGAGGCCTCTTGCCAAAGTCAAAACAAGAAGGCTTGATGTTACATCTTACTATTTCCTTTTTACAACTTGGATTAAAAAAGAAAAGCAGAAGAAGAAAAAGCCCTGCAAATCAAGTTACAGAGAGAAAAGATTAGGTTAACTTCGTAACTGAGACTGTAGCAAATAAGCATTGCATTGATAATTAGATTTGGAAATTACAACTAATCTGTCCCTCCTTTGTGTTATCTCCAAGTATAAATGAAAATTACATGTATGTATCAATTATCTTGTGCTGTAAACAAAGACCCTTTTTCTCTCATAACTCGGACAATCAACTTTCAACAAAGTAAAACATGACAATATCCCACTCCCATAGTAATTCCCCAGGTTATTTATTGTGAAATTGTTCTGTACCAAGGAAACAAAAATGTCAGTGTCCATCAATAAATGGAATTTATCATGAACTACTAGGGAATCTCACTAGCACATGTATAGATCCAGAATACTAGTGCTGTAAACTGGGTCCTAGCATCAACACTAGCCAAGTTTGCACGGTCTTGTTTTCTTATCTGAATCTCTCAGCAAACGTTAATTAAACCTAGCTAGCTTCTAAAAATCCTGAAAACCTGTGAAGACCCATTACTGGACTCATGTTCTCTGCACGTGTCCCATGTGTCCTTACATCCTTCAATCAATGTTTGGAAGTGTTGGGATCTTAGGACAGTTTGGAATGATGGTTCTGTGCTTTGTAGGACAAAAGCAAAATCTAAACAGAACAGCTTAAGCTATAAGCTTATAGCTTTGAAATTTCATAAAGTTCCTTAGAAACAATGGCCAGCATTTCTTTGACAGCCTAAATATTCTCCTCTGAGGTACTCTCGTAGGGCATGTGATTTGTTATTCTTTGTCTCCGATGGTTTCTGTGGCTTCTTAGAATTTTTGTCTTTGGGCAAATGGGGGCAATGAACATTACATATGCAGTTATAAATTTTAAGACTCTCCTCTGTCTTATTTTATTTGTCTCTGTTTGATTTGATATCAAAATTCTAAACCCAAACTAGATAAACATTTATTCACAATCATCCAAATGAAGTGACT